GATGAGTCCTGTTTCTCACTCATTTAGGAGAATTTTGAATAGCATGAATCAAAATACCTGCAAAGAGGCATGTGAATTATCCATATCTGACTCTAGTATTCAATTTTTTTCTTCTTTTTGTATTTGTTGATAAAAATATTTTTTGTTTTTGCATTTTCTTTTAAACTTTGTTTGCCCTAGATTCATAACTAGACTCAATGTAGTGTACAACCTCGGATGATCTGAAATTTACTCTGTTCTGCAGGGTCATGAGCCTTTTGTGTCATATGAACTTTATGAAGGTCTTGAGCAGTTGCACCACTTCATATTTGTCATGGCTATCACACATATCCTACAGTTGCTTAATGATGTTGCTGGCAATTGTGAAGGTGTGACCTTGAAATTGTAATCATAGTAACTGTGACCGAGGAATTTTATGTAGATGGACTTATCCTAGTTTTGTCTTGTAAGATTGCTGTTCAGCTGTTTTTGTAAACATGCTTTCTCTTTGTGACTGAGGAATTATAACTGTTTGGCCAGATTCATGGTTGGAGGGCATGGGAAGAAGAAGCTCATATGGACTGACACAATTCATTACACAGTACGGCAAGTGTTTTTAATTTAAATTCATCTACTAAGTTAGTTGAAAAAAACTTGTAGAGTAAGACATTATATGTTTTAACTTCTTAGAGCTTACTCACACACAGTTTACTACTACATTCTAGTCAATAAGCCTTGTACTACAGGGTACAACTTAAAGTTTTCAGATTCTTCATTTAAAGTATTCATGTGTAGAAACGCAATTTTTGACAGAAATTACACGAGAGCTGGCAATGCGAAGGCAAACCACTTTTGTCAGATACCATACGTCAAACCCCTTTGCCAAAAATAGGCTTCTGATCTGGGTGGTAGGTAAAAGCATTTTCTACTTGATTAGTTTACTTTCTCTGCTTACTACCATTTTTTTATTGTTTTCTAATTCTGTTTGTTTTTATGGTTTAGGAATGAAAATGTTTTTTTCTTTTTATTTTGGTTCTTTTTTTTGGGGGAGGGCACGGGGATATGGCACCCTGTTGAGCTCTTTTTGTTTTCCTCCTCTTTTTTTTTTTTTGGCTATTCTGGAGGGTGATTCATCCTTTGCTCATTGGCAGAGATTGGTGCTGGAAATCTACGGTTATAGGTTGTGTAATGTGTGTTATGGCAAAATGCCATTTATAACTTATTTTGGAGCATTATTTTATTTATTGGTGGAAAGGCATGAATTTTTTATTTACTGAATTCAGTTGTGTTAAAAACATTGAGACTACATACATGATAATTTTATTCAGATTCTTCCTAATCCTGTAAATTTGCAGATTTGTTTGTTCAGGCAATTTGGAAACTCGGTTGTTTGTGCAGGTTACTTGACACTGCAAAAGGGCTTCATCATGGTATTTACTACTCTCTCTGTGTATGTGTCCACAAGTATTTCTTATGCTTTATGGAAAGTTAAACCAACAAATTTCTGAAGAATTATGGGGAAAAGCAAGGAAATGGAAGCTTATTTTTATCCAATTAATAATATGTGCAATGTTTAAAATTGCGTTCCTTTAAATATCTCTGAATTTTAGTTGTATGCTGGGGAAATCTTAAGATATTATTATTAGAATTTGTGTGCAGTAAACTGCTTGCAGGCGGTCGGCCATTTAGCTTATCAATAATTGAATACTTACCCTTTTTTTTCATGTATATGACAGAATCACAACGTGACATCAAAATATGATTTCCATAGCTATATGATTTGCTCTATGGAAGAAGAATTTCAAAGGATGGTAGGTGTTAGGCAAGTGACATTTTCCTTGAGCATTTCTGATTATTTTCATTGCCTTTGTATTGCTAAAGCTTTGGATACAGCTATGTCCAATACAGCTGTAACGTATAGCATGAATATGCATGCATATGAATGCTCATACACAGTACACACTATTGCACATACCGTTCTTTCTATTTTTACTTATTTGTGTAGTATGTGCACGCCTCTGGAAACTGGTCTCACAAACCACATTTTAGCAATACACTCTGAACTGCCACTTGTCAATAGGTTCCTTGGCAGGCATTTATGCCAAAAAAAGAAACAACTGATTGGTTGCAATATGAACAGAGCCATGACATGTTTTGAATGAAAAAGAAATGTTGAATCTATTAATGCTGAATTGCTGATCCTGATGCACTTCAAATCATCTGATTTTTCCTTATCCCATATTTACCTTTTTCTTGCCACTGAGAGATCCGTTATGCTGTTGTTAAAAGTCATTTAACTTGGTTGTGGATTTAGAATTTGTTTCTATGTTTGGGTGATGTTATGAATTTTCATTTTAGAATACATCAGCTAAAGTTTTGTTAATTCATTCTCTTGCAGTGGCCCTCTGTGGGGATTTGTTGTTGCCTTCATGCTGTTCAATGTGAAAGGTGCACATTCTCTATCCTCACATTGGCTGTATTCTTATCCATATACTTGGAAGAAAGAAAAGAAAATGCTATCTGCTGCTCTTAAAGGAGAGTTATAAGCTTCAACAATTTATGGCAATGCAGTTCTCATCTTGCTGTCTATCTCACTTTCAGATAGTTGAATGATCAGATTATGCACAGATTTACAAACATGCTAAATTCACATTCACTTTCTTCCCTTGTTACAGGGTCTAACCTATATTTCTGGATTGCTATCATTCCCATTACTGTAAGTTTCTTTCTTTTTGTTTCTTAGTTTCAGCAGTTATCTACGTGCCATTTTCAGATAAGTAGATCTTATAGATGATACACACATTTGCATTGGCCAGCCAATCGACCATTGCAAGCCACTGGAACAGGTTATGGTGTTAAATATTATATTGACATGAAGTGTAGCTAGAGAAATGCCTAACTTGGAATATTCTTCAGAATAAATTTGTGTGGAATGTGGCATTGTCTGGTACAATTGTACAGCCGTAATACTTTCAACATTCAAGTCTTGACAGTAATCATTTTAGAAAAATGCCAAGATTAAGTGGGAAAGTCCACATCAGTTAAGTTTGGGGTTTCCTGTGGGCTTAATTATAAGTCTTCTCCACCTTTCACGAACTTTATTTTAGGTTGGATGTTCTTTAACATGGTATTGCATCTTAAGTTCTTGTGTTACCCCGTTTCTTATTAAGCCCTTTTGTTTTCCACATCTGAGATTTTTTTTTTTCTGCAGTATCCTACACATAAGGGGGTGTGTTCAGGGGAAAATCTCACCCTGGTTATGTTTAGGGTTTCTAGTGGCCTTGAATATAAGTTTATCCTCTCTACCTGTTGCCACTCCTTAGTCTTTACCAATCTTGGATGGATGATATTTTAATCAATCATTTCATGCGATTCTTATTTCCTTAAATGTGCATCAACAGCTGGTTCTTCTTGTGGGAGCAAAGCTACAGCATGTTATTGCAACACTGGCACTCGAAAATGCTGGCATAACCTTTTCAGGAGGACAGTCGAGGCCTAGAGATGAACTTTTGGGGGTAAATAAGCCAGAACCCTTTATTGCATCTTTAAATAAGTGTCAATAATGTGCCTTTAATCCAGAACTGGTTTACATGAAAAGTATGGATATTGACTTTAAATTAATTAATTAATTAAAATTATTTTTGTATTAATAATATTAAAATTAATATTAATTTTTATATAAATTAATTTAAAAAATATATATTTATTATATTTTTAATATGTATTTTTAAAGTACAAGTTAAATTAACTTATTATATATTTATATCAAGTTACTAACTCTCTCTTCCTCTCTCAGTTGAGAGAATATTCTAGTATCATCTTTATTTATTGATGTAAAAATAAATGGAATATGTACCAAAACTAAGCTGGTGATTTCTTCGGTGGAAAAATTTATACATGTAGTATAAAACTTTAAACTCTCATCTTTTAAATAACAAAAATGAATTATCCTTTGAGTTTAGTAATTTGACACTAAATTTTAAGATGTTTGAGTTGGTTAAGATTTAAATTTCATCAATTTCTTGAAAAATTTCCCTCCCTCCCCTCCAATTGTAGATTGTTCAAAAAAAATTTGGGGGCAGCTGACTTTTCGACCTAGTGGCATTAGGCACCTTATTAAGTACATCCTCTAGTCCGTTGAGATTAGGTTGGTTCTTTATCCCTCGTTTCAAACCTGGTAAAAAAAAAAAAACAAAAATGGGGAATACGATTACGGGGCTGATTTGTCATTCCAATGAGACAAAAATAAGTGATTTTTCCATAGCAAGTGGATACCTGTGCAGTGGACCCATGAGCTCTCATCTCTAGAAAAGGGAAACCAGAAATTCATGATCTTGTCTGTGGAAAAGCATATATGGACCTACTAAACCAATGAAATTTAAATAAAAAACTGGTTGGCAGAATTAATTTGATCATGCCGATCGCAGCTCCACTCAAAATTTATCTATGAATTTTTTAATTTGTGTTGAGCGTAGCTTTAGAATATATTTAATGTATTTTTTATTTTTTTATCAAATTTAATTGTTTTAAGTTCATTTTTACATAAATTTTAATAAGATAATTTTATATAATAAATATATAATAATTAAA